CAAAGTAGGTTCAAAACAGGGAGCTTCCTAACCTATGAAAGCCACCCCAAAATGTTAAGCCCTAACTTGGGAAAGCCTTGGCTTCACAGCACAATGTCTCATTTAGTTCTTAACAGCCATATACACATTCTGCATACTGCCCTGAAAAATTTACCCCACATAAAAGAACTAACAGGACAAGTACAATTGAGAAATAAATGTTTTAATAATGTTAACCAAGGATTAGAAAAATTAGCAACCATGGGCAATCAATGCACAGAAATGCAGAATCTGTATTTAGGAACCACTGTGGATACTCTGAGTACATTAGATAACTGAAAGAATTGCTAAATCAACAAAAAGCATCAAAGAAATTGTGAAATATACAACCACAGGAAACCCTAATTGTTTGGCCTATTAAATAAGTAAAATCACACACGTGCACACAGATTCAAGGCAAGGAAACAAAGGTGTTGAAAAATTAGAATGTTTTGCCAAGTGGTAGATGGTTGAAACAAGTTAAGTTAGAAGTAAATGGATGCCAAAACCATCAGTAGTTTCAAAGTGTCACGTGACAAAGAGTACTGGGAAGACGGGACACCACAAGCGTAGCTCTCATCCTGTACCTACACTTAATTACACACACACATGCTCTTGCACATATGCTCACATGCATGCATGCACACACACACACACACACACACACACGCCCCTTGCTTGTACAACTATCACTTTGTGCCTGGCACCAGTCTGCTGTACTGGAACAACATGGCAGCTCTGCCCAACAACTTGTATTAAATTCAAACAACAACTGAAAATGTAAGGTTACTGAACTTGTATAAACCAGGTTTAAGAATTAAATACTTCCACATTGAATGTAGAAAATAACTAATAAATGACAGTTTACAGCTTATATTCTTCATTTGGCTAAAACTGGAATTTTGATTACTGAACCAAAATGGTAAATTAACTTTTTTTTGGCTTGTTTACCAAGTATAAAACAAGGATATAACAAAAAAAAATCATATACAGTACCTGTATATCCAAAATAATTGTTTTCTGCAAGAATAGCACAATATTGAAAGGAATTACTGCTCTAAGCCATTTGACCAGTATACAATTCTCTACATACAAATACTAAATGAATACTCAACTTCAAGTAGTATATCTAAAAATACTGTACTTGTCTAATAAACAAATTTGTCAACAGAAAACAAATATAATGCAAATAAGTAAGAACATTATTCAAATTAAAAGTGACCGAAGGTTAAACCCATATTGGAGTATCAATTATACTCCTCAAAGTCTTAATCTGCATTTTCTATTACAGACCTAGATCTAACATTGGCTATCTAGCTCATAAATAATAATAATAATAATAATAATAATAATAATAATAATAATAATAATAATAATAATAATTTGCCAAAATAAAAATGATGTGATTATATAGAAACTTAGAAATCGATAGTAATTATTCAGAGGTGTGTATATATATATATATATACATACTGTATACAGATGAACTAGAATATTGTAGAAATGTGAGGGTATAATGTCTAGTAATATATAGGCATAATTTCTAGTTATATACAATTTTTCAGTCAATGTCTGCTTGGTTGACTACAGGTGGTGATAATGCATTAGAAAATAGGAAATTAACTTTATATGACACCTATACATGATATAAAAGTAAATAAAAGCGACTAAAATATAGGGTTTGGTTTTGGATGGATTTGAAAAAAGATTAAAGAATAATTACTATAGAGATGAAACCTTTTGCAATGGCCAAATTAAATAAGTCATTAAATCTTGCATGGCATGTGTGTACCTCTGAATATCACATTATGGTAATACATTTCAAACACAGGCATCACTAAATATGTCAGTGTCAAGTACTGTACATATTAAACTATAATGTTATACTGTAAATATTTTAAATTTACTAGTATTTTAGTGAAAATATGACACTTTTACAAAAATTTTTAATTTAAATTACCCTCCCCCCCCAAAAAATGCAAGATGAAAAGAAAAATTATACGAATACTGTCCATTTAACAAAAATACCAAAACCAAATTAGGCACGTTGGAATTAATGATCAGTCGAGTAATTTTGATGTGCAAGAGTATAAAACAGTATAGTATTATTAATATTTTGACAAATTACTGGTATACACTTTCTAAAATATATTTCATATTTCTGTCATATAATGGCTTTCTAGCTAGGTTGCAGGGTATCCTAATGTTTACCTCATATCAAGTAATTATCATAAGAAAGCACTTGCCCAGTATGGCTATATAACACTGTAAAGCACAAATTCCAGTGTGCTTGGCACCATTTGTCAACTATATACCACACTTGAAATCAAACCCGATTGTGTAACTACCTTTATGTACTGCAAGCTATCTCTTGTGACTAACTTTAGGTGATGAAAGCCTTGGCTAATACTTCTCTTCACTTGCTCATACCTCGATGCTACAACAGTTAATACTGTATTGAATTCTTGAATTGGTGTCCCAGTCTCCATTAATTTTATAATTATAATTACAGCCACGGACTCGATGGTATATGAAGGACAAAGCCCTTGATTTTAGTTGCATGTTTTACCATCTATTAATGTTGACTATTTTATACTGTCTCCCATCTCTTACTGTTAATATTTAACTTCTGAATTAATACACAGTATTATTACAGTATAATCCTATACAATAGCACTTCCATGTAATCATACACAACCATGTTTCTATGCTCAAACATGAAACAAGGGTCATGGTTTATCAGCTTATGTTGTTGCTACTGTAGTATAATCCAAACCTCCGTCCACTTTCACAACTAAGGGCAACAACTTTCAACATACATTATAATGTAAAATCTCAACTTAAGAATATTAGTTCTAGAGTTATAAACTCGGTCCACTATTATTTGGTTACTATGTCCCCCGCTCTTTATAGAAGTGTAAATAAACAAGATACACTGAAAGCCACATGCAAGGCCTTCTACTATAGTATCAATCAAAATAATAATGCATTAACATAAGAGATCCAATGTTATTATCTGTTTTAGTTACAATGAACATATTAGTTACAATGAGCATATAAGTAAAGCTACATAAATAATAATGATATAACATGAGAGGCCTAATCAATTTCTAACTTACTTTTGTGAATAAAACACAAGAATCATTATACCAAGAAACTAAAAAATAACAATGCCAAAATTCAGCAAATATAAATTATAATGCTGATTATGAAAATATCATAACTGGTAAAAAGTTCTTAACTAATCAATTCATTTTTCCTTTACTTTAGAAAAAAAATAATTAATTGGTGTTAAAATATCGAGTAATAAATTGGGTCAAGAAATAAGAATAAATTGCTTTACTAATGTCTGTCCTCTCTACATTAAAAAAATCTGAATCTTACCTTTTCTCTTCATATTATCAATCCCAAATTTACAAGACATTGCTTATAGAGCTTTAACAGTCCTCGAGAACTCGCTCCATTTGCTCCAATGTCTCCTCAACCAAGAAATTAAAGAAAAAAATGAATTGCTATTATATAAGTGTAATAAATGTTTCCTTACATAGCCATCTGCAAATTGTGCGCCTGTATAATGTTGATTGCCATCACATTCATATTTCTCATCATTCACACATTTTTCATCACTCCATTATTTCTCATATCACATCCATAAATGCTCATGCATTGTGAAGACAAGCTGTTGAAAACTTAACTAATTTCAGGAATGACAGCTCATCTTCAATTGTTGAATGCCAGTTACATTGTAATATATTACCATCAGTTATGTTCAAATGGCACTGGAAAAATATCTTACTAACAAATATTATGTATAAACCACAAACAAATCTCCTAGGCACATCCAGTACTTCAGTCATAACCACAATCTGCTTAATAAAGGAGCAAAACATGAAGTACTCTATTATCTGTAAAATGAAAGATGAATCAATTGCATAAAATTTTCATCATATACCCATTAAACTTGAAATTAATTTTATCACCCATTTTTCAGTGTCAAAGTAACTTCTGCCCACTAGGCATTTATTGGTGAATAAGAAAACAAATCTATAAAACTGTTAATGAAGTGTTAAGAAAATTAAAATTAAATTAATACCATTATGAACTTTCACCGCACGTGTAACCTTTCCAGCCAATAAATCTAAAAATATGATGATTCCTCCTTATACATGTTACCACCTGCTGTCAACATCCTTTTCTTACAAATGCTTTCATAAAAAATATTTCTGCTTTCAATACATATACAATACTTGAAAATGAATAACTATGAATATCATATTACAATGAACTCTCCCAATATGCAACCAGCAACATACTGCAACTTTTCAAAATACAAAGAACTTAAAGTACTGTAACAGTAATTGTTACAAGGTGTCTAGCAGTAACTATCTTTATATAAAAACACAATTTATGTAAGGGCTGTATGATGATTTATAGCAAAAACACTATACCCAAATACACAACAATTAAACTTTACAATCAAAATACATTTGACCAACCTGCTGACCAAAACACACATTTCACAAAATTAATCAGGCCTTTTAATGCGTCTCAAGTTATTGGCTTTGAAGAACATGACAGAGTTGTGTGCAAATGTGGCCAAACAACAATCTCCACATCAGCAAAGCATTATTTAAACTTCCTTTATACAGTAATTTTAATTAAATTATTACCTGAAAGTTAAAGGTAATTTTTAAATTCATATATAAGAGTTAATTCCAAATCAAACTTTAAATTAACTTAAAATTTCATAACCACTGCATGATATAATGTTTGAAAATAACTTTGCCAAGTTTTTTGTATATATATATATATATATATATATATATATATATATATATATATATATATATATATATATATATATATATATATATATATATATATATATATATATATATATATATATATATATATATATATATATATAATATATATATATATATATATATATATATATATATATATATATATATATATATATATATATATATATATATATATACACACACACACACACACACGTCATTAAATTTGTTACAATGTTTTCCATCTTCACTAATTCAACATTGCAAATAGAGGACATACCTGGAACACCTTGTGATGCTGTGTGTGGCTCACAACAAACACAACCTTGCTCACCAGCAGACACCACCAGTAATCAATAGTAAAGCCATTCATGTACTGTCTGACATTTTTATTTTCAACTTAAAAAATTATCTGAATGAAATAATTAAATTACTAGTAGTAAGCAATTTAGGCATTAATAAACATTTTATAAATAATACCCTAATTAAACATAAGGTTTTATACAAATACAAAGACAATTTTTACATTCAAGAATGCTTAACAAAATTTATTGCATTACAAATCTAGTTATACTATGTAACCTTTGTTATTTTCATGTAATGTACGATCATTACAAATAAATTTTATTTCAAAAGAAATAGGATTTACATTTCTGGACGAGTCCAGCCAACATGTCTTCCATAATGAAAATATGAAAGGTAAATTACCATTAAAATACTGCACTAAAGATGAATCTCAGCTCCTGAGCTATTATAGCAGCTTACCTCTCCATAAACCAAATTCATTTTCTTTTACTTTTCAGAATAAGATGTGGATATCAGGTCACCCTCTGAAACAAGCTGCGTGCAAAATGAATTTTAACTTGGCAGTACAAATCACTCTTAAAAAGCTTGAGTAGAGATTGACTAAAACTAGTCAAGAGGTAAAGGGAGTAAATTCTTCAGCTACTATCATGGTATAATTACATTCAGACACAGTGGAAAATTTATCTTGCACTCATTGGTATAACTACAACGGATAGTTTATCTCTCACTCACTGGACCCTAGTGTAGAAAAAGTACCATATATAGTCAGTTATACCTAATGTGATTTATATTAATCCTTGAAATACTCTAATAAAAATAGCATCTTGCTGACACGTTTTTATATATTCCACAACATACAATGAAGGAGCTTAATCCCATGTTTTACAAGCACATACCATCTTGCATGCCAATAAATACTTAGGTGCAATTTCCATCTGTCACACTACTGTTGCAGTCTGAACTTACACTGCTCAAAGCATATTGACAACATTAATTTCAATGTGAAAATTAATCTATTACAATTTTCTGGTAAACAATGGGCACCACACTACAGAGCACACACACACTACAATGGCAACACAAGAAAAACCTCCTTTTAAGCTCAGAGTCAGACAAAATTGGCAGGCAGTTACATATTTTTATATACAAAAAAGATACTGCATATATGATACATAATGAGCCAATAACAGTTTTTTTAAGGCCCCAGACTAGGCTGACCCTTTTTCTCCAAGAGGTGCCACCTTACAAAAGTAGAAAACTGTGTAAAGCATAATTTAACTGAAAGAAAAAGAAATCAGTGTCAGCATTGGAACACAATTAATAGAGTTGCTGGTAAAGAAAATTTCAGATCCTTGCAATCCATTTACAGGCACATTACTGAACAAGAATAACAACACTACCATACATTCTTGCAAGCACGGATGTGTTAACCACAAGAGGAGCAGACAGACAAGCATTTTACAAGACTTTAGTCCGTTACTTGCTTTACTGATATGTCCCTTCAGAAAAATAGGCTTTCAAATACAAAAATTAAGAGAACACTTATAACATTTAATTCATCAAGAAAATAATAATATATTTTACCGATTATTTCGTGACAATCACCTGTCCTTGACATATCCAAGGAGAAGTTTTGGGAGGGTAATTTCTATTTGAAAACAGAAAACCAAATAATTAAGTTGTCATTACTGTAATAATATGCAAATATCCCCAGTGATATTCCAGTCTCTCATACATTCACTATTGTGGCCGTCGCCCTCCCAGAAGCTACATATACAATTCTGTGGTAAACTATCTATGTTCCTATTTGGCTTTAAGCATGGAGCAGGTAAGGAATATGGGGGAAGAACCTTATATGTTAGTAATCACTTCTGAGGGGGGGATCCAAAACACATGTCATATCACAATACTAGGGAGGTCACTTGTAATTGTACCTAAACAATAATGATAACAATAATAATAATAATAATAATAATAATAATAATAATAATAAAAAATCTTGTATAAAATTAAGATTCCCAGCACACTAACTCCCAAATGCACATACATGTCCAAATGCTTCCTAATCACAAATTATCATAATGTTGAGTTACTGAGCAAGTTCATACATAACACAAGATCATTTGGTCTGGTAGTTGTTCCACCTTCCATAAATGCACATAAAAAAAAAGTTTCCTCCATCTAGTTCCAAGAGGAAAACCTCTTAATAAGCTTTCCATCTAGTAAAAAACTGTGTGGTGTGTGTAATATTGTGAGGCTGTGCTTGAGGGTGCAAGGAGGATCATGGGTGTTATCTGGTTGCTGTGGTGATGGTTTGGGGATGCATCACACTTAAGCCGTCTTCATTCTGTAGAGGATTTCCTAGACTACCATTCCGGCCTGTTGACATTGCCATTGATGATCCATTCCGCACTCGCGTTAAATGGTCTTCTATTAAACTAGTTATTTCATCTTTGTCCATCTGAAAGAGAATAACACAATTCATTTAGGTACAATTAATTTTAAAAAATTAAACAGTAGTCTTTATGTGATTTCAGACTATTTCAGGCAACTATCACATAATACAGTCAATCCTCATTTATGCACTCATTTATTATGATGGTAGCACCTGTGATGAATTTGCCTGGTAAAACTGAGAGGGCTTTGCTAGAAATATGGCATTGAAATAATTGAGATGCTCCTTTCTAAGAAGCCTCTCATCAGTTGCTCTATTTTTTGAGCCTGGCCCCAGGCTGGACTCTGGGAGTAGAACTTCAAAAAATCTCTACAGGTAAGTCCCTGCATTCTCAAGCACACTAGAGTGTCCTGGTCATTGAGGAAAAGGGGAGGGGGGTTGCCTGTGCCTCGAGCTATGTAGTAGAGATCTAGTTGCCATCTGGTACCTGCTGGATAACTTCCAATTCTTTCCAGTAGTTTTTAAGACTGGTAATTGAAAATCTTTTGTAGCTACTTATCACTTGTAGTACATCAGAGCCTTCAACACTGGGGAAATGTTGAAAGACTAACTGTTATGTACAAGATCAATGTTCTCAATGTTTCCTAACTGGTTCAATTTTGTGAACCACCAGAGGTTAGTAACAGTTCCACAAGGAAATTAGCCAACAATACCTCATAATAGTTTTGCTATCCTCAAGAGTACCACGTCATCAGCGATTATTCAAGTCTGTGCTAACTCGCATTTGGAATATGTTCGCTCAACATGTAGAAGCGTGCGCGCGCGCGTGTGTGTGTGTGTGTGTGTGTGTGTGTGTGTGTGTGTGTGTGTGTGTGTGTGTGTGTGTGTGTGTGTGTGTGTGTGTGTGTACTCACCTAATTGTACTCACCTAATTGTGCTTGCGGGGGTTGAGCTTTGGCTCTTTGGTCCCGCCTCTCAACTGTCAATCAACTGGTGTACAGATTCCTGAGCCTACTGGGCTCTATCATACCTACATTTGAAACTGTGTATGGAGTCAGCCTCCACCACATCACTTCCTAGTGCATTCCATTTATTAACTACTCTGACACTGAAAAAATTCTTTCTAACGTCTCTGTGGCTCATCTGGGTACTAAGTTTCCACCTGTGTCCCCTTGTTCGTGTCCCACCCGTGCTGAAGAGTTTGTCTTTGTCCACCCTGTCAATTCCCCTGAGAATTTTGTAGGTGGTTATCATGTCTCCCCTTACTCTTCTGTTTTCCAGGGATGTGAGGTTCAGCTCCTTTAGCCTTTCCTCGTAGCTCAATCCTCTCAGTTCCGGGACGAGCCTGGTGGCATACCGCTGAATCTTCTCTAACTTTGTCTTGTGTTTAACTAGGTATGGACTCCAGGCTGGAGCTGCATACTCCAGGATTGGTCTTACATAAGTGGTATACAGGGTTCTGAAAGATTCCTTACACAAGTTTCTGAAGGCAGTTCTTATGTTGGCCAGTCTAGCATATGCCGCTGATGATATTCTTTTGTGTGTGTGTGTGTGTGTGTGTGTGTGTGTGTGTGTGTGTGTGTGTGTGTGTGTGTGTGTGTGTACATGTGTGTATTATACATATATATATATGTACATATATATACATATATATACATATATATATATGTATGTATGTGGACCCTTGGTTTAGGAATTTAATTCATCCTACGAGACAATTCATACACCGAAACAAATTTTTCCATAAGAAATAATGTAAATTGAATTAATCCATTTCACACACCCAAAAATATTAACTTAAAAACACATTTTATATAAAATACTACTCATAGTTTTTACTATACAGGTAACTTACCTTAATTGAGGACTCGTGTTGGCGTGTGGAAGACTGTGATGGGGGGGGGGGGGGAGGAGGAGGAGAGGTGTTAGGATTTGGAAGGGGCAGTCCCCTTCCATTACAGTAACATCAGACACTGATGTCATTTCTGGGGTTCTCTCGTTCTCTCTCTCCTACGTTTTGCAGGTATACCACTAGGACCTGGTTGTGGCTCACTGCTTGCTTGTCTTACTAAGACTATCTAAAGACATTTGTTTTTCACTATGTTTTAACACTTGTCTGGACCGAGACATCATTTTGTCATTAAAAAGGTTAATGCAACGGCCTCCTACAGCTTTATCTGGAGAGCTTTTTCTGCAAAACTTTGCAGTACTTCCCATAATGCACACATTTTCTTAATGTGGAAGGGACATCCTCTACTGCCTCTACTCAACTCTTTTCTTTGGTTGAACTTTACCACTGACGTTCTTGGGACCCATGGCGTGATGTATAATAAACACTTTTTTTTAAACTTTTGTTCAGAAACCAAACAAAAACCATTGTTCATCAAATGAATGAAATTCTTCTCAAAGAATTCAAGCGCGGATATCATTAGGCGGGATACACTGGTAAACTGAGCGTGCTGCGCCCAGCAGAACCCACGTGCTCGTCGACCCATAAATGTATCAACTCGAAATCCTAGACAAACCTCGAACACCGAGTCAAGTTTTACCAGGAAACTGACCTCGTATACCAAAAAATTAGTAAAGAGGGGCATTCGTAAGCCAAGGTTCCACTGTATATGTATAAAAAGGGGGGGGGGGCGAATAGTAGGGGAATTATAAATCCCTGCAAATATGTAATATCAATACATTCTCAACAAAATCAAGTGGGAAAAAGTTCACTAGGATTCGTAAGAAAATAAATTATTATAAATTGTGTATTTTATACATGTAAAATTCTGACACTTACCTGACTGATAAAGCCATATCGAACAAGTTCGTCAGTAAGCGCTGCAGCACCCTCTCCATCTTCTACAACACACGATAGCTGCCGATTCATCTTATCTTCTAACCGTAAAGAAATTGTCATCTGTAATAAAATATTTATTATGAACGACAAAGATCGTACTCAATGTTTTGATTACATGAGGATGAAGTATTCTTAGCATGGCATATCTCACATGTTGTGATGAACAAATGCAATAATTACAAAGTGCTGTAATGAGAACAGGTTGGTTTATGGTTGTATAATTGAGTTCCTTTAACCTGTCTTACCTTCAGGCAGGTTTTGTTGCATGTTATATTCCTTGTCCATGCTGCCATATTTAATATGTAATTGTACTGGTTGGTAACCAAATACTTTTATTCCTCAAAGCTCCAGTGTGGCTGAAGCAGAAGGGCTACACCACCTCCACCCTTTGTACCCTTCTCATCAAGTATATTCTTGTGGAGATTAAGTTCTTTATAAACCTCGTCAATTTTGCCTTTATTATTGTGATACTAGTAGTGTCGATTTCTTTCTTGTAGCTCAATCCCTTTGTTTGTAATTCCACCTGCATTTGTGTACATAACTTTGATGCTATTCATCTCTACTATGATCTTTTGGTTTTCCCACATGGGTAGTAGTACTGGTCATATCCATGTTTAGTGTTGAGGGACCAGAGATGCATATTGAGTTAGTAATTTATTATTGAACCATTAGGTAGATGCTTTGACAGGTTATTTTGCTGTATTGAGGTGTCTACTGACTTGTTTCCTGGTTCATATTATTCAATGCTTGGGCCATTTCCTGTTATCCTTGCTTAATTTATTCAGTGCATATTTCTTCTCAGATTTTCAACACTTCTTCAATCTTAGACATATCTTGGCTTTTCACCCATTATATATTTAACTTAGGTATTTTCTTTTAAGTGATGGTGGTGGTGGTAGTGCTGTGCCTTCTCGCCTTATTGTACCTGTAGTGTTTGATTTAAACTTCCATCATGTTTGATTTTTTTATAATACCTGGCCCTAAAGCTGTAGATGGGAGTGGCTTCCACAACTTTTTCTTTCAGTCCACTCCATGAGTATTTTCTAAAGTTTCTTTGACTAATCTAAAGACTTTCCTCTGAACAGAAAATACACAGTTGATGTAAAAGTAAGTCAATGACCTAAATGCCTATACAGTGTTGTAGTACGACACATCCCAGATACTGTATATTGGTGCCTAGGCACCATTTCCTTGCATATCAGCCTTTTATGCACACTTATCAAATTATCACACTTCTCTGCTTAAATTGTTGCACATTTAATAGGAGATATTAATTGATAAAATGCATGGTTACAATAATATGTAGCAAAAATAGTCACAAAACATTTCAAATTTAGCCTCAAAATTTTTTTTCATTTCAAAAAATCCAGCTTTGAAAATAATGAAATGCCATTTTCTAGGTGAGCCCCGGAGGCTCCCTGAAGCTATCCGAACTGATATATGCTATATTAATTTGGGGTCATCAGTCACTGGAGTCCTTATGTCTACCAGGAACCACGAGCCAGAACCTGGTTCCCTCAGATAGGCACAGGGAGCAATGGCCTACAAGCCCTTTATATTTAAAGTATGTCGTAATTGCCATCGACCGAGGAAGCACCCAGAAAGATAGATGTAACAAAACAGATCACCAGCTGATGAAAATTGCGACCTACGTCCAAAAAAGCAAAAAGATCTCCTCCAGGAAGAAAACAAACAAGCAATACGTCATCCAACTAGCACTCCCACTCGTTAGTGCTGCCCCCTATCCCTAAAGGGGGATGGGGGTATTTTCACCAGCTTGTGGTCCGTTTTGTTTCGCATATCTTTCTGGGTGCTCTCCCAGTCGATGGCAATTACGACATACTTTAAATGTAAAGCACTCATAGGAAATTGCTCCCTGCACCTCTCTGAGAGAACCAGGTTCTGGCTCATGGTTCCTGGAAGGCATAAGGACTCCAGTGACTGATGCCCCCAAATTAATATAGCATATATTAGTTCGGATAGCTTCAGGGAGCCGACAGGGCTCCCCACAGAAACTGTGTCAAGAAGTTACATCAACGTTGTAGAGTATTTGCTATAGTACTGTACATAGATACTGATCGTTATTCATTGGCTTGCATTCACCGATTAATATGCCTACTTCCACTTCAATCTTATAATAATTATAATGATAAAGGTCCAGAATAAACTGGAATATCTTCACTCTAATTTCATTTCAATTTGTGAACAGAGATGTGGATGATTGGAAAAATTTAAGTGGGAAGGTGGTAGATACCAAAACTATCACTAGTTTTAAAGAAAGCATCACATGACCTCATATGGGCCAATAGGCCTTCTGCAAATTCTTTTATTCTCATATACTTATTATAGAGAAGATATGACACCATGACTGCAGCTCTCATCCTTTAACTACACTTAATTATACTAATGCACATAAATATGCTACTTTAAAAACTTCTGTATTTTCGATTCACTGCTTATAATGCTCTTCTATATTAATGAATTATGCTTAACTGGAATTCAATGCATGTTTAATAAATAAAAATTATTCCTGAGTCAGTTAGGAAAATAAAGTGTCTTGAAAAAAATTGAACAAATAATTCTTACAGACACGAGATGTACAGATATTCTGAAAAATGGGTCGTAGACACAATACATACACCTTGCACTAAGATATGTTACAAACACGTGTGCACCAGCTTGAGTGTTAAATTGATTTTCTTAATTTATTGAGTTTTCTCTTGACTATAAAACTTTTAGAGTATTCTCCATACAATTCTTAATAATAATTAAATAAAAAAGTAATTTGACTGTAAAAGTACTGTACTTACAAACAACCCATGCCCATTTTCATTTGGTTTAATGTTGCACATCATGTTGATAACCTTTCGAGTTTCCATGTCTGTATTCTCTGGGGTTTCTGATGCAACAGGATCAACAGCTTCGGGTGAAATAGCCCGAGGACGGGACGGAGGCTGTCGCTGAATTCTAAATGCTGTCAAGGGATAAATCCCAAACCTAAAAACAAAAAACTATATATGTAGTAACATTATTATAAAGTAAATAATATGTACAAATTAAGGATTACACTGGACCCCCACTCAAACAGAAATTGGTGCACAGCAAAGCTGTTGCAACAGACGGTGTCTATTCCAGTAATATGATCGTTGGATTTAAATGCACAGGAAGATAGCAGAAGTAATATGGTGGAGCAAGCGTGTGGTATGGAAATGGTATGGTATGGTATGGTATCCACTGGTATGAAAATATCTATAATTTGTAATAGAACATCATAATATTTTAAACTAAATCATGAAAAAATAGCAAACTTCAGATGCAACAGATTTCCAGTTGCAATGGAAGGACCAATTTGAACCTAAACTTTTGAGGAGTACAATATACTGTACAGTATTTGTCATGATAATGTGATCTCATTGTTATGTGTAACTAACCGTATGTATTGAATCATCAAATTATACCATATTACTGTTGCCAAATAAATTTAGACATTCGTTTTTTTAATGTAATGAAATGCCTCTTTCTGGAGGAGCCCCGGTGACTCCCTAAAGCTATCTCGCTGAAATGGCTTTCTCTACCGAGTCACATCAGCTATAGGAGATCTTTTGGCCTACCAGGGACCAGAACCAAAACCTGGCCCCCCTGACAGAGGTGCAGAGAGCTGTGGATTGTTATGATCACCCACACTTGGGGAGAGCACATTTTATAAAAGCAGTAAAACACAGCTCCAGAGGAAAAAATCTTCTTAACAAACTTGAATGAATTCTATGACTGTCACCAATATATAAGAGGAGAAGGATGGGTAGAATGCACCTTTTAAGACAGCTAAAAAGCTTTTAATACAGTCCCTCACAATATATTAATACACAAGATGGAGAGACAAGTGGGGATGACAGGAAAGGCACTCGACTGGGTATGGGAGTACTTGATGGACAAGAAACAAAGAATTATAGTTAGTGAGAACATGTCAGGCTGGAGAGAGTGGAAAGTGGTGTTCCAGAGGGTTCTATCCTAGGACCACTGCTTTGTTAATTTATTTAAATGACCTCACAGAGGGAGAGCATCCATGTTGACTTTTACAGATGATGCAAAGTTAATGAGGAGAGTAAAAATTAAAGAGGACTATAGGGTGCTGTAAAAGACCTTGACAAACTTCAGGAGTGGGCAGATAAATGGCTGATGGAATTCAATCCAAATGGGTGAAAAGTAATTAAAGCAGGAGATAGACGTTTATTTAAGGCTGTAGCAGCTTAATGGTTAACTATACCGTAAGGGAAGACAATTACAAGAAACAATAAGGGCAGAAGACCTGGGAGCAGACATAATCCCAACATTAACACCAAAAGCTCATGCAAACAGGATAACATCAGCAGCGTCTAAACAAGGATGCTTTCATACACAACTTATGTCAGACCATTACTTGAATATGCAGCTCCAGTATGAAACCCACACCTTGTAAAACATAAAAAGAACCTTGAAAAAGTTCAAAAGTTTTCAACTAGATTAGTACCATAATTGAGAGGCCTCTGCTATGAGGACATGGTGCGAGACTTTCCCTCACAACCTCTGAAGAGAGAAGAAAGATAAAGGATAGTATAACTGTATACAAGTTCTTGTGGGGAATAGACAAAGTGAATAAAGGACGCAAGGAAGCCTATCAGAATTAAAGAGAGGTAGGATGAGGAGACATTGGGAGACTAGACTTGCAATTGAGTAGAACAGATGTAAGCAAGTTCTTGTTCTTTGTATGGATGGTCAGAAGTGAAATGCATTAAAGGAAGAGATTGTTGAAGCAAGACCACCAACAACTTTTAATAAGAACTGATGAAAACTTTAACATTGAGAGAGGTAATTAGCATGCCAGGTGTAAATGGGTAGGCATAAAAAAGCTATATCCAAGTCTTTGATAAGAAAGTACATTGAGAAAGCATCCAGAAAGTAAGTGAAGCCATACAGACAACTCACAAGGTTCACCTAAAATGAAGCACCTAAAGACTCACTGACTTACTCGACTCTTAGCTTGAACCCTCTTAGTGTGCAAGTCACCACCAGGTGGTACCCTGGGAGCTCCCTGCTTAAGGGCCAGTAAGGAGTCAGTCTGGAGATGATATACCACTAACTGACATACCTGAAATGTGGGGAGGAAACCAGGGAGGGGCTGGTTTTTCTGGAGAATCCTCATCGGTGGCTCCCTGAATTTATCTAGCAACAGAGCAAACGGAAAACATGGGACACACCAGGAAGAGCAGAGTGGCAACTACACACCTGAATGCAAGACACCGAACTGGGAAACCAAACACCGGATAACGCAAGCCCAAGTAGAACCAGGAACATAGACCAAATACCAAGCCGATGGTTGGTATCTGCTCAATGAGCTTCAAAACTTTCCCAAGCCTAAATATCAGTCTATAATATAGTAGCTAACACAGTGGCCAAAGCCATGAACTTGCGAACATTGTGGGCTAGAGGGTAGACTGCAGTCTGGTTAGCTTTAATGAGACAGCAGCAAACTAGGAATAAATGTACCCTGGAACTGAGAATGAGGGAAACCAGATTAACAAACAGGTCATCCACCAATGTACAGCGAATTGCACACAGGAAGCAACAAACTGCTCCAACTGGACACACTAAATGAAGCACCCCCTGGCTGTGTATAGCACACATCAACCACAAAGGGATCCCTCTGGAAGTCAACCAACTTATTCTTTACCAGAAAAAGATAAGGCTGCAAATGAAAAAAGTGCCACACATGCCAGAACAGAACCCATGCCTCCAGGGGAGAACCTGATGCTCCCCACCCTGACAATGAGAGACAAAAGCCAACGAGAGACGTGCCATAAGAAAGACATCCTGGACCAAGTAAACTAGGTAAGGAAACCAAGTGAGCATGGAACCTGTGAACCGCCATGGCCAAAGTCAAAGAAGGTCAAGACAGATGCCCACAGGCCGAAGGCTCCCCCCCGCCCCCTCAAGCAAATGAGAACAAAAATTGCAGTTTCTGCGAGTCCCAAGGGGGATATTAAACTTTTTTAAGGGTTAAGAATCCACCCCTCTTTACTCCTTATTATCAACACATACGTACTACCTGGTCATAAACCATCAACTCTCTCATTATCTACACATTGCTTTGCCATACTTCTTAACTATACATCAACAATAATTATTACCCACAAAACTTCCACACTGATCCCACCATTAACAAATACAGTATTACCCTACAATACTTCAGCTCTCCCTTCAACATAAATCCATTCATTACTGTATCACCACCCATTTTCCCACTTTCACTGGGTAGGAAGGAATCAGCCTAGATAAAAAACAATTAATAACATTGTAACAGTATATTAGATATTAAAACAGATATACTGTATATCACTTGTCCATTCACACAAAGAAATCATACTAACATGATATGTATCAATAAGAAAAGCAATTGGACCAGTGATCAGGGTACTCCCAGTCGTGCACCTTACCTGCCTGATACCTGCTTGAAGGGGTTCTGGGAGTTCTTCTACTCCTCAAGCCCGTACCAAGGCCAGGCTAGACTTGCGAGAGCTTGGTCCACCAGGCTGTTGCTTGGAGCGGCCAGCAGGCCCACATACCCACCACAGCCCGGTTGGTCCTGCACTTCTTTTAGAAAAAATCTAGTTTTCTCTTGAAGATGTCCACAGTTGTTCCGGCAATATTTCTTATACTCGCTGGGAGGATGTTGAACAACCGTGGACCTTTGATGTTTATGCAGTGTTCTCTTATTGTGCCTATGGCACCTCTGCTCTTCACTGGTTCTATTCTGCATTTTCTTCCATATCGTTCACTCCAGTACATTGTTATTTTACTGTGTAGATTTGGTACCTGGTCCTCCAGTTATTTTCCACGTGTATATTATTTGATATCTCTCTCATTTTATATCTCTCTCGTGTCCTATCTAGTGAGTACATTTGGAGAGCTATATATGCTCTCCAAATATGAGATGAAAGCTTTGTATATGTTCTTTGTATTCCCTCTATTTCAGCAACCTTTCCTGGTCTGAAGGTGTGTTAAACATAGCCTCATATTGGCTTCTTAGAATTTCACTAATTTCTTTGTTGTCCTCTGTGTACGTACCTTCGGTTGTAATTAAAGGTCCAATACTGGTGGAATATTTTGAATTTTTCTTTATCTCTTGTATAGCTTTCTGTTCCAATTCCATTTCCCTAGAATCGTATGATCGCTTCAACGTTTGCTCTATTTCTTCAATCAACCTGTTTAGGTTTATCTTCCTTTCTTGTGATAGTTGTGTCTGCTTAAGCATTTCCGTTATTTTTTCCTTCTCCGGTACAGTCGTCTGCGTTCTCTTTCTAGAGTGGTCTTCTTTCTGACCCTCCTCACAAGCACGTGTTTCAAGCAGACCTTGTATGCTTCAGCTGTCAGTTGAGCTATTCCCTGTGTGGGAGTTTTGTCACTTAAGACCGTCTCCCATTGAATGTTTGCAAGGTCTATATTTTTTCCCAGTCGATTTTCTTATTGTTGAAATTAAATTGATTGAATACCCCTTCTCGCTTGGTGGTTCTCTTGGGCCCACTACTGTTATTAATGTTAGTTTGCATTTCAATGAGCTTATGGTCTGAGTATGTAGTATGTGAGATTGTAATGTCTGATTAGCTCATCATTATTTGTGAATAATAAGTCTAGTGTGTTTTCATTCCTAGTTGGTTCTGTAATCTGTTGATTGAGAGAGAATGTGTCACAGAATCTCAAAAGTTCTCTGACCTGTGGTTGATTATTTCCCGGGTGGTTCCCTGCTATGATATTTTTGTTTGCCATTCTCCATTTTAGGCTTATCACCTTACCCCTGTACCACCAAATGTTGTAAATTATAAACCTAGGATTCAGAGGAATCCCATGTGATTTCTTTGTGTATTTGAAGCTGGAGAATATGGGTGATGAACTACTTGGCTTACACGTAAATTTATGGGGATTACTTGTGAAACTTGGACTGGCTTCAGTAGAAGCCTCCAGACTTCCTGTGGATTCAGTGGAATCCCTGGTTGTAAAACTTATACCACGTCATGGTACAGGGGAAAGGTGCACACTCGGGAGTACCCTAATCATTGGTTCAGGTCACCTAAGTGCTCCAATTGATTTTCTCCTTGATATATTACATGGCAGTGTGATTTCTTTGTGTATTTGACGCTGGACCATACAGTTGATGAACTACTGAGTGCCTGGGGGGTGGGGGGTTATATGTCATTTTTGCACTGGTTTCAGTAGAAGCTGCCAAGACTTCCTGTGTAGAGTACGCTGATCACTGGTTTGAGCCACCACAGTGCTCCAATTCATTTTTCATTTCATTTGTTAAATCATTCACACTAGTCAGAAACTCCTTTATCCAGATCCCTATTAAGTTTATTACTCATTATCTAGAAAGAATGTATTCTAAATACATTTCTCATATATCAGGATACATGGAAAATGAGCAATTGGTTTGCTGAATGACAATATAGTGCCGATCCTAGTATACACGCATATAAAAAGGCAGCATAAGTAACAACCTAACCAACTGATAGCTGTGTACATCTATATTTGTGAGTGGTAAGCAGCCTCAAACTCTTCTCGCTGGTAACTGCCTTCACTTTCACCACCCTCTGCTGCTCTCATTCTACATAACCCATCAACACTTTTTTTTTAATATAGTAAGAAGTATAGCATAAACAGTTTTGCAATGCCAGAAGCTATAACATAGAAAATTTGCATTGTGTAACAATTATGTGATTTTCATTACTTGAACTGACTGACAGCTTAAGTAATGTTTACCATTACACACAGAAATCACAGTAGCGTGATGCATCAAATGAACAAATCCACAAGGGATCCTCTCAGACGTAGGTTCGAACCCTCATCACGGCCTTGTAGATTTGTTAATGTTTACCATCACATTCTTGACCAAATACACCAATCCACACTATCCCATCCTAAAGTACATGAAACATGGAGAAATTTAATGCTTATTAACATGAGAATCCTTGAATTACATGTAAATGTTAACGTGTATCAAAATGTTCTGAAACATATGTTCAGAAAGTAACTATTTGAGGAATTTAGCAGCCAGCAGCTGTTTCAATTTTTCTTCCTATGCCTCTTTCTTCTTTAATAGACAGTACTTTAGAATTGGACAGGGGCATTTTTATGTAAACAATAGAGTAATTATCAAGTTCAGCACAAACTGTAAGCAAAATCCTTGAAAATACCTTTGTTGACATTTTGAGGGCCAACACATTTCTTAATATTTCAATTACAAAAACAATTACAGATATTTTAATCACTTGTACATGTGTTAAAATACATGGAAAAATGTGTCCCAATTTAAAAAATAAAAACTGGGCTTAAGCTTGCCAATGGTTTATCTGGATTTTGCTTATGCAGACATTCTTTTGCATGCATTATTCTGGATAAAACAAGCACCACCATCACACTGGCAGTCATTCATTTGAACACCCCCACCACCTCATAAGACCAGGTGTACAGTACTCCTCAAATTGTCACAAACAAGTCCAATTACTCTATACAGTATTCCATATGTTGTTCACACTCAAACTCTTTATTCTTTACACATTCAATATGTCCTCCTTACTGAATTTCTTACTGACCTTCCTCTCCTCCTACTTCCTGCAAATTCATTCACATACACTCTAGTCATCAGTCAACCATCATTCATTCATTCATTCAATGTCATCGGTAAATTCTAGCCTTTTATTGACTTGAAATTTACATCTCTCCATGATACTTTCATTCCGTACTGTTACGTTCTGCTAACACCACACTTGCTTCTTAATTCTTGATTGTTAATGTTCATGCCCCATGGTTCCTTTGCATCAATACATTCCTGTATGCAACCTTCTAGCTGCATTTACTCCCATCTTGTTGTTCTAGTCAGAGTTTACATTGTACCAGCCTCTTTCCTGGCTTGAATCAGTTTATTCTTAATTTCACTTGCACATATTAGTCTCATCAATCACATATTTGTGCTGTATCAGAAATCTGGATAGAGAGGGATAGAGGCATCAATCCTAACTCTTTGCCACTGTTCAGAAAGAAATTGGGGACCTGGTTGAAAACTGGATGGATGGATCATGTGTCAGGAGAAAACTAATAATAATACTAAGGTAAGCCTAATTCAACGTTAGCAGGTTCTATGCCTACTAACATGAATCAAAAGTTTTCTATTTCTGCACTTTCCCGTGTAAAACCAAAATAAATGACAAATAACAAATAAAACCAAGGCCCTCATTGGAGGGCTGTCGCCATCGTGGAGCGTGACAAAACCTGCAACCTTAGTACATTGCAGTGAGGATGCTGCTCTGTCACCTACAACACCCTGACCAGTACGTAAGTCATCTACGAACAATTTGGAACAGCACATTAACATTCAAGATTTTTTTATTTGGGATGGAGGCGCCCACACTGTTTGGCCTGACTTCCCCGGGTTCAACTTACATGAGTCCAACTCACGCACCGCCCCTCGCCTTGCCTCCCTCCTCCCAAGAGAGAGAGAGAGAGAGAGGGAAGTCCAGAATGGCACAGGTCTCTCTCCTTTATACTCCGGTCTTTGACCATCCCAATGCCAGCTGTACACGATTTTGTTACTTCTCCAGCTGGGATTCTGCCTTAGAGGATTTCAGGTATAATCCCACAGACAAAGCCTAGCTGCACTGGCAGATCAACCTAGAACGGAACCATTTGTCCGGACCTGCCGTTCCTCTTGTACTGAACGGGACTGCTGTCGCAATGACACAGTTTAACAGTAGTGTAAATCTAACCTGTCTCACGACAGTCTACATCAAGATATTCAAACTGATTGAACACTGTCAGCTCTACAAGATTCACATTTCTCTCTCACCACCACCAAAACTTTACTTTGATTTACATTCACTTTCAACATTCTTCTCTAATATGAATAAATTTTCATCTACATAATTCTTTTGTCACTCTCTGTTAAAACTATCATCTACATACATGAAACTTGACATGCTCCACTTAGTCATATTAGGCCTATAAATTGATGTTATTCCCCATTTCTTAAAATATTGACCTTGACCTTCCTGATGACCCTATCCACATACTGTATATTCACTGAGCAAGGTGACATCACACATACCTGACTTTGCCAACACTGTCAAAGCATCGTCCCAGGCTCCCTCAATATTCCCATCTCAGAAGTAAAAACAAACATACTTAACCATTCTCCCTCACACTAGTAATGTGCTTCATCACTTTTTCATGACTGTGTATCATGTAATAAAGTCAATTCCTGATAAAAGTGAAGATAAATTTGTGCATGTTACTAGTGGTTCTAGCAGTGATAATTACCTGTAGACTATCTGTAAAAGGTTCTGGGTGCTGTTGTATTCTTGCAGTCTGTTCTGAAACCAGGCTTCCCTGATTAGACTGGCTGTTGTTGCTTGCAGCCTGCAAGCCAACATAGCTATCAAAACCTGGCTGGTCAATGTCAATCACCTACTAAATAAAGTTGTCAAGTTCCCTCTAAGTTACTGATTGGCACCAGCAACATGTTATATATATTTGCTGGAAATAAGATGAAAAGTCTTGGACCTTTGATGTTAACATTATTTTCTATAACTGGGAGTTATATAACCATTACTTTTCCCCTGGAGTGATCTTGTAATGCTCCTTCTATCATATCTTTCATTCCAGTAACTATCTTGCAAATAAGAATCATGACATTCAAATATTTACAGGTACATAAAAGGATAATTCTGTATGAAGGGAGCATCATTATAAATGGAGAACTAAAGAGTGAAGAGTCGTGAGGGAAAAGTGAAACATTTCAGACCTTTTGGTTATGCTGGTACTGTACCACACAAATTCCAGGAAACTTTTGAAGTTGTAGTTAGTCCTCTTAACACTAATGAGAGAGGTGGGCGTATGAAAACTACCAAACAAAAGGAGTACAGTAGCTGAAAATATATTTTGTCTGCATAAAATGGCTTAAATTTAATTTAAGGAGACATTATGTATGCATTTTAAAAAGTTAGTATTCCTTCAGTTTGCAATAAGGGAGAATGATTTTAGGTAACAGTGGAAAGTATGAGTGAGGCAGTGTTCAATAGGCAGAACAAAGAAGTGTAGGCCTTGGAGAAATAACAGTCACATACCTGACATCTTCAATGAATTTCTCCAACTTTTCTATAACAGGAATATCTGCCATGCGAAAAAGTGTTGGATCACCACTGTTGTGTCTGATCTCTGCCACTACACTGTCATTATGGTACTGGTGTTGTAGCATATCCTCAACACAATTGTCTATAAATTTGTTTGCTGAAACGAGACATGGTAAACGCAGTACAGTACAGTACTTTAAAAGATCCACTTTTAACAGAAAATAATTCTTTACTGGAACATCTTCAGCAAGAAACTAAATATAATAAACATCAGCATGTGTGCCGAACTGAACCCTTGCCAATCTCATCCCTGACATTGCAACACTGTACTTGAAAACAACAAAAATTAAGGTACACTGGACAGTAAAGTCAAATTTATCCTTGTCCACTTTTAATTTTCATTATATTTATGTGATTGCAATATTTTCCAATATTCTTTATTAATTATACTTCTCTGGAACTTATTAATAAAAAATTTGAAAACAGGGAGCGTCTTACATTTCTTGGGGTTGTGTATAAGAGCATGAGCTGCTAAGAGTTTAAGGGAGTGGACCTCAAATAACACCGGGTGGAAGAGTAACTCTGCTGTACTTGGACGCTGACTCTGATCACGATTTAGGCACTGCTGTATGAAGTCTCTCTGTTGTTCATGTTCCAAGGAATGTATAGTTCTTAGCACCTGCAAAGAACAAATTTCATTTAAATGTGTCAATTCTCTTTAACCCTTTTGTTGCATAATTATATTTCAGAGGTGTGAATCATTTTGAGAACTCCAATTTTGAACTTTAGAAGTGAAGGAAATTCATTACAAGAAAAGTCTGAATGATTTGGGCCCTTTGTTTTGAAAATGGTTGCAAAACAGGACCACTCCCATCACTGCTTGTCGATAGCCAAGTTATAAAGAAATACACTCGTCATGGCAAAAGGACGAAATGAAATACAATGGAAAAATCAAGCATGTAATAAAATGCACTTTTTTGTTGGGCCCCAAGTAACCTCCTGATGCTTAAACATAGCTGTAGCCAAGCCTTAAGAATCAAACCATATATCCGAGACTGACACTAAACTACTAAGAGACACGACCAAAATTTGACACACACAGGCTTGTGAATCAGAGAGTTATCCAGAACTGAGAAAAAATTCATCAGAAAGGCAAGGCAAAACAAAACAAGCAGCTGTTTGAAGTTAAGATACATGTCAGCATCCACTCATTAAGGCAGGTGATTAACCCTCACCTTAATGCACTCAGACCTCAAGAGATGGCATCGCAGGTCACCCGGAGTTCTTGGCTAGCTACCAACCTCACTCATGAGCAACTAGTACTGCTGGTGCCACTGGCTTACTTCCACAGCCATGACCATGAAAAGAACCTTTATCTGATGTACCAGTACAGTACTATGAATGTTGTACAACATGACCTCAACTCACAAATAATGATATATCAGAAGAAACGCCAGTGAAAATACTCAAGTAACATGAAGTTACACCGCATTCACACACCTGTGATATTTACATGATCAGTACACAATGTGCATGCCCTCTCAGTATGTGTGCATGCCTCAAAATTTTTATTTTTATAAATATAAATATAAACCTTGTTACCCCTTCTAACATTAAGTTTTTCTTCCCAAGAATCGGAATTCTTTTGAGGAACTCTAGTCGACAGATTTAATACATTGTTTAGAGGGAACTGCTATACAGAAATCCAATTTTTCAGGAAAACACAATTTTAACCCAGTAACTTCTAATTTTTTTTAGAAGTGTTCTAAGTAGTTCTTCTAATTTATACAACAGGCAAAGCTTTTCCCAAAATATAAACCACCAGAGAATAAGGTTAAACAAAAACTGCCTCAAAAATTAAATTACCAAAATCTAACTTAGACTAGTCGCCTTATATTTATCAGTCACCGTGGTGCAGTGGTAAAACACTCGCCCAACGCTTCGCAAGCGCTTTGGCCTGGGTTTGTATCCTGCCCGGGGAGGATTAACTGGGCGCCAATCCTTAACTGTAGCCTCTGTTCACCCAGCAGTGTTACATTATGACTGATTATGTCTCCACAGTATAGAAAATGTTCACCCAGCAGTGAATGGGGTACCTAATAGTTGAACGATTTGGCAGATCGTATTTCAGGGAAAATTAGGATTAAGGACCTGCCCGAAATGCTATGTGTGCAAGTGGCTTTACAAGAATGTAAGAACCCTTATACAGTATATATAAATAATAATTAAAATTGTCCAAAGACAGTTTTTACCAAGTTATGCTTTTGTTAACTTGGTTCACATTAGGATTTAACAAAAATAAAGGAATTTCACTTGCCTGTTCTTGTGTGACAACATTGCCTGAGTCACCATTTCCGGGTATCTCCAGAGCAGCCATCTCCAAAGCTGCCATCCCAAATGAGTAGATGTCTACAGCTGGGGTTACTGGACTGGGATCTGAAAGGAAATAATTGGCGTTACTGGTTTGGGATCTGAAGAAAAATTAAATTTACATATTAATGCATGGATAACTTCTCTGGCACAGTAACAATGTCATTGATGCCAAATAAATCAAATAATACAGTTAAGAAAAATACTGTAGAAATAAAATGGGCATCGAGTAATATGAAATGCTCCTTTCTGAATGAACCCTCGGTCACTTCCCAAACTAGGGACAAGGATCCACCATAAATTGAGGATCAACCTGGTCTTCAGTGTACTGTATATTCCTTAGCCACTGAAAAACACTTTGGGGAAGACGCACAAGGAAAAGGTCATGAAGATCACCCCCCCCCCTCAACATCTTGTGGATGTTGGGTTATCAAGTTCAAGCTTAAAGTAAGTAAGTATATTTTTATAGAAACATTTTAGAATCAAACTTACAGAAATCATAATCCAGTGAATAACAAGTACTACTACATTATCTGCAGACGCTAGACAAGTTATCATCTTCGTCATCAGACAAGTTCAATGTCTTCTTCAGAATTCTGCATGATAGTCCTTGACAGTCTGAACACATGGCAGAGCATTTCAGTCCAGATCTCAGACATTCGCATCAATTGCTACTGTTTGATTTACAAGTGCATGAGACGAGTGTTAACAACTCTGGCAGGATATCTGCCAGATATCTGGTATCTGGCAGGTATAGGGTATCTGATCATGCACATGGGTACCAAGGTGTCTCCCTTTCTTATCCATCCCCAGTCAGTAGGGTTCATCTCATTACCTTTCTACTGGTAAACCTCTAGGTAGATACGGTATGGATGCTGAGCTTCTGCATCACTAGTTGGAGACAAAGATGTGGATTCAAAACATTTTGCCGACTGGCTGGCTGGAAATCCGGTGATTGTATCTGTAGTACCATAAATCATCTAAGGTAGTACTGTTTTATCATCCAAGTAAGTGAGGTTGAAATTCTTCTTGTTCAACACTTACTTCTTCTTTGGTTGAAGAAGGCTTATGTCACAGTTATTTTGAAGAAGCTTCAGTGTATTACATTTACCTCTTTTACAGAGGACAGAGGTGGTGTTACAGCCTGTTACTGCATGTGCAAACAGAAGGACCTGACTAATTTCTTCCAGCAGGGTTTGCTGTCATGATATAATGAACACAATTTCTTATGTTTTAAATCCAGAAGCAGAGTGAAGGAACAGAACATTATCAGTTTCAAAAACAAATGAAGTTAATAGGTGCCAGGTTCAGTGTTCGCATGTGTAGGTAGACAAGCCATAATTCACCGACGGCTTCAAACCTTTGAGTATCCTCACCTGATTTTGCCATTCAGCCGAAGTGGTTTATTGGGGTGTGGCCGCTGTTGCATGCTGACAGCTATTAGGAGCCACAGGTTATATAGTGTGAAAGATATAATAAATGCAATTTTTTCAATAATATTTGTCATTACCTGTATATATTTCAAGATTTTTCTCTGGACTGATGTCTTCTCTCATTTTATTACTCTAAAAGTTGGTAAACTATACTCTCTCCCTCTTACCTACTTCTCATATGATTTATATATATTTTATGAGTACAGTACTGCAAACGTATACAGTAATTTTTGCATATTATATATATATAAATGAAACTACTTTAGAGCTGCCATGTTCATCAACATAGTTCACAGATTGTTTTCCTTGATATACAAAATTTGCAGTACGAATACATACTTTTTATTTTCTCATATCAAGAATAAACCTGCTTGAATATCATCGGCCTTCTTGAAACCTCATAAATATACTAGTGTACATTATAATAAAATAGTTAAAATAGCTGTTAAGTATCAAGAATACAGTGTAGCCTCAATGGTTACAATGGTGGGTCAGAAGGACCTGGCAACCACAACAGACTTTGATTGTGTGACTATGGCTGCTTCAGTTCCCGACACAGATCTAGCACAGGCATACCCATATTAAAAATATTTTTTTTTTACATTGTCATTATTGTATTTTGATGACTTCACTTATGAATATAGAATAATAAATCAGCATTGACTGTATTGAAATGCCTTTTTCTGGTGGATCCTTGTTGGCTCCTTGCTACCTGGCAAGCTCTGGACCAAATTCAGCAAGGTCAGACCTTTGCAAGTCATATACGCTACAAAGAGAGAGAGAGAGAGAGAGAGAGAGAGAGAGAGAGAGAGAGAGCGAGCGAGAGAGAGAGCGAGCAATGAACAGAGGGAGTGTAAATTACTCAAACCAAGAAAAGACCACCAAAAAGGTGAGCAAATTGAAACATAAAAACAGCAAGATAAACAAAAGCATAGAAAGCAGGACAGCAAAACCCCAAGACTCATGAACCACATGGTCACGAAGCAGTACTCACATTAGTTCCACCAGGCCACCACCAGGAGGCTGAACACCTTCCTCCTCAATCCACCAACCTTGACATCTCAGTTACAGCCAGGAAGACAGAAACCCAAAGCTCCTGACCTGGAGAAGGGAGGTTCCATAGGAGTCACCAAGGAACCACCAGAAAGGCATTACATTCAAACCTACTTTTTTATTCAATATTTATAGACAAACCTGGCCCGTAAATCTGCAGCCACCTGATAAGCCGGGGCCCCAAAGTAAACCAAGCAGGAACATCGAGTAAAGGTTCAAGTTCAAGTATGTTTATTGAGACAATAAAACACATCTCAAAGGGATAGAGTAGCTCAGGCTATTTCTACCCTCCTCTACTTTCAAGTCCCTCAAGGGGGGTGCACAAATCCAGTGAGTACAAATCCACAAATCAGAGTACAAGAATCACATTTTACATTGCAGGTTAACATAGTAAACACAGCATGTAAGTGTTACACTCTTGGGGTCGCGTATAGGTACTGCTCGACAAAAATACAGAAGCAAATGCCACAGGAGAAAAACAGTCAAAAGATGGACAGCACTATCTGAAAAACAAGGACCTTAAGGGCACTGGGATGGGATGAGGGGTTAAACCACAGCACTGCACAGGGTGTCATGTGGTGCTGGATTGAGGGTGCACAGAGCGCCACATGGCAATCGTAGGTATATCATAGGGTTCAAAACTGGCGTGAATTGGGTATGAGATGGATGCCTGAGGCCTCCAGTGATTGTCCGCCATTTTTAAAAAACCAGCGGTGAATGTAATAAAACGCTATTTTCTTGGCGAGACCCGGAGGCTCCTCCAGAGCTATCCTGGCTGATATGAATGAATTAGACCCTGGTATCAGTCAAAGCAAATGGAGTTCTAGACCTACCGGAGACCACAAGCCAGAACCTGGCCACCCTCAGAGAGGCACGAGGAGCGATGGCCTATAGAAACCCCCGTGTGGTTGGAAGCATTCTATGTCTGCCATCGACCGGGTCAGGCACCCAGAAAGGTAGGTGCCTCAAAACAAACCCTATCTGGTTAAAAAATTGCTAAAGAAAGCCAAACTGTTGGATAGAACTCTCCCAAATGAAAAACGAGCAAACGAGCATGACGTCACAACCGTCACCGTGCCGCCATCTGCACAGCTCCCCCCCCCCTCCCTGGGAGGGGAAAGGGGGAGTCCCAGACCCCCATACCAGCTATCCACACCCCCAGTTCTGAGGCTGGATGTCAAAACATGCGAAAACTGCTGACTGGAGGGAGGGAGGGTTGCCAGGGAGCCAGAGGCTCTCTGTTTTCTGGGGGTAGCCCCTTTGGCTTCCCGGAACTACTTAACCAAAGATAAAATAAGAGGGACTTACCTAGGAGGTGGTCGCCATTCGCTCCTCAACTCGAAGTCGAGACAACTGGCTGCAACCGCCGACCCAATGCGACACATGTCCAACTAGGGCCATGAACACTGACTAGGTAGCGAGCGGCCAGGACCCTCTTCGACATCCAAAAAGCCCTGTGCCCAAATGTCAGCCCAAGACATGTTATCAAAGACGGCAGCCAAAGCAGCAATCTTACGAACGTCTTGGGCATGAGGATAGAATGTAGGCCAGCTGGACCGCATAACCCTGCGGATAACCTAGAAAACCCGAACCCTGGAATAGGGAAGAAAAGAAACAGGGTCAACCCAAACCACGTCCCCAGCCACCGAGCCGTGACACGCTGGTAACTGCAAAGAGCTGGAATCTGACACAACCATCCCTGGCCGAACCAGCCAAGCATCAACAACCCAATGACCCCTTCGGAAAGCAGCAGTCTCATTCTTCTCCAGAAAAGAAGGAGATGGCTGCGAACGAACAAACCTAACACCAGGATCAAAAGAGCAGAAACTTCTACGACGAAGAAAAGCTTGAAGCTCCCCAACCCGACCTTTGGACGCGGCTGCTCGCAGCTGGACATATGAATCACAGCCAGGTTGATTAGGTATCCTTTGGAGGTGCTTATCCAGTTCTCTCTAGAACAATGCGAGGGGTCGGCCAGTTATGCCCCTTATGTATAGTGGAAGCATGTTGAACAGTCTTGGGCTTCTGATGTTGATAGTTCTCTCTCTCAGTGCCTATTGCACCTCTGCTTTTCAATGGGGGTATTCTGCACATCCTGCCATGCCTTCTGGTCTCGTGTGATATTATTTGTGAGTGCAGGTTTGGGACCCCGAATGCAAGCTTAAGCGGCTCTGCCAGCACCGCACAATACGAGGCGACGGTATTCGGCATATGATAACAGTCCTGAAACAACCAAGAAAGGAAGGACAAAACAACCCGATGCAAAACAGAAGAGAACCTACGGAGGAACAAGAAATAATGCAAGGACCACCAGGAAACTTTATACTGCCGCAGAGACGAAGTACGCGGGTGGGACACCATCAAACGAAGCCACCTACTCACCATACAAATGGTGATAGACCCACATCAGAAAAACCAGACACGAAGATTTGAGAAGAAAAGAAAAACCCTACACAAGTACAATGTCACAGGTGGAACAGAGCCAGCAGCTGTATTATGGTGAAAACAAGCTGCACAGTACCTTGCACCCCCTACCAGTGACAAAGCTACCTCCTACCCAGAAACAAACGGGTGCATGAA